TGCATGATATGGACGGGGGGGGGGGGTTGGCCAGGGAGCCGCGATCGCTGCTCGGGAACTGGCTGGGTATCAGTTGGTGGGTGGTGAGCAATTGCATTGTGCATCACTTGCTTTGTATATTATTATCATTATTATATTGTTATTATCATTACCATTCTACTTTTTTTCAATTATTAAACTGTTCTTATCTCAACCCAGGAGTTTTTCCTCACTCTCACTCCTCTGATTCTCTCCCCAATCCCACTGGGGCAGGGGGAGTGAGCGAGCGGCTGTGTGGTGCTTAGGTGCTGGCTGGGGCTAAACCACGACAACTTGTCTAAAATTCTGGAAGTCTAATGAGAGAAGACATTAGTTTGTGTAATCATTGTTAAAAGGAATTTGAATTTACTTAAGAAAATTTCAGTAAGAGAAGATAAATTGAGGTTGTTTCATTTGATGGTAAAGATATTTATTTTTATGGTTTTGATTAGCAAGATGTAGTTTTCTTGAACATTGGAAATGGATTCATTGTTTATACATCTTTTTTTAGCAGACAGAATTAAAAATTAAAACACCTCGAAAAAAATTGGTTGTGCCTCACTCAAACTTTCAAGGAAGAATATGTGTTTCTTAAACAGTTTGGTTGTTATCAGGGTCCTTTGCATGAAAACAGGATCTCTGTTTCTTCTGAGGTTTTCCTGGGCTCTTGGGTTTCAATCTATTGTGGAGTTTTCTTGTCTTCGCTGTAGCTTAAGTGGCAGTCCTGTTCCCAAAAATGTTTCTGGTTTTATGCAATATTGCTCATAATGAAGTATCTGTGTTGAAGTAGAGAATATACAGGAAGCTTCCAGAATGTTTAAACAAATTCTAGTTTAACAAAGGTTAAAATTCCTGTTCTTGCTGTATGCTAGCATGGCAGTAGTAATTTACTAAGTTGCAACAGGTTGAATGCTATAGGAAGTTTATTTCTCAACCCCTTTTACTATGCCCAAGTGCAGTTAGTTGTTAGGCTATCTTAGTTTTTTTTCCCCCCACTTTTCAAGTTTTTGTCCTGTCAGCTTCCTTCATCCTCTATTTCTTTCCAAGCAGATGTTTAAGACACCTTTTAGTGGCTCTGAAATGGGGCTACTGTATACCTGTGGTTTTCCAGAATAATGCTGTGAAACACTAGTTAGGTACTCTTGATCCTGCAGAAAAGAGTGTATTTGGAGAACTGTGTTAAAACCATAATCTCGTCTGTATTATGTAGCTGCTAATATGCATGTGCTGTTAAATTGGACTATTTCCTGGAAGTTCTAAAATGGCAGCTGATGCCCCTTCCCCAGGAAACATGATCTCAATTGTCTGTTAATCCATTCCTCTGGAATCTGTTGGCTTGTTTCAGCTGCATTTGATAGAGGAATACAAGTATAAGAAGTAATGACACTTTTATGTTTTGTGAAAACTGGTGACTAATAGAAGGCAGAAGCCCAAATAAGATCTATTTTTGATGACGAGGAAGACAGAATTCAGCTGTTAGCCAGTCTTCTGGCAGGAATGGCAGGCTGGCTGGTTAGCCAGCGTGGGCTGTCTGCTGTGAAGCCATCTGTGTACTGGCTGGCTAGACATCACATGCTGACTTTTCCCTCATGGGATTACAGGGTGTATTAGTGAGCAAATATTATTGCAGTTAAGGGAAACTCAGATTCGTTTACCCTGTTGCTCAAGAAATGCTTTCTTAAAATCCAGCCTATAAACTAAGATAGTCTTTCATGTGGTCAGAGTTGACCTGTTCTTACTCATTTTGTAGTATGTAACTGAGCTCAAGTCAGCTCTGCTGTAGTCAAACATATCTCTTGAAGACATTGTCTTGCTTTTTTGAAAGCAGTTTTCTGTGGCTAATCACTCTACAGTAGGTACAGGCTTCTGTGTTAATTTCCAATTTGAATTCAGCTATCACCAGCTGCAAGAGTGTGACTCTTCAATCTAGTGGGAAAATTCACAGCCTTTTCTGTCAGGGATATTCTATCTGAATGTACTTGGGCACTGTTGTCAAGTCACTTCGCACTATCTTTGATAAATTGAACTCTTGAAAACTTTTACAGCAAGATATTTAAAGTACATTGAACTGTTAAGGTGACTCTTTTCTGTACCTTCTTTAAAGAATCAATATCTTTTTTAAAATGTGGCTCTGGGTATCAGTTCTGGTATTTGAGTATCTAGACTGTCAAAGCCATATGCAAATGTGAAATAATTTATGTTTTCCTTATTATGCTGTTGTTTGTGTCCAAAGTCCATACTGGTCCCTTAATAGCCCAGTTTGTACTGGGAGCTTGTGTTAAGTAACTTCTTAGCTTAGCCCCAGATCCTTTTTCGGAGCTGTTACGAGGATGATGTTTTCCATCCTGCTTTAGGTCTGTACACTGAGTTGGATTAGGAATGTGGTTGGAGCTTGGGTTGCAAGTTCAGTGGTTTATGTTCGGTGTTTTGGAAGTAATGACAATTTGTGTATGAGGAGGGTCTGTACATATATGCATTTTATTTTCTTGTATTTCAGGAGCTGTCTTGCTTTGTTACCCGATGTTATGAAGTGGTGGTGAATGTAGTGCATCAGTTGGCTGTTCTCTATACCAGCAACAAGTAATTATTCCCTAAAATGCTATACTGTTTTTATGTATTTTAAATTTTTATGTATTTTATGTATATTAAACACATGTATAAAATATAAATGTTCTGCCTAAGGCATGGTCATTTTTGGAACACTGCGGTCTAGGGATACGGAGAGTGCTTTGCTCTGCAAGTTTGGGCTTCATAAGCCATTATGAAAGTGGATTTGCTTTATTTTCAGAAAAGGTGGTGCTTTTATATAATGAGATGCAAGAACTTTTTTTGCCATTTTTTGATAGAATTGATGCTTCAGAGGCACTTAGTCTTTATGATTAAGAGATTGTCTTATTACTCTTTCATCTTTGCTCTGAGAGATTCCTTCTGTTGACTGATACGGTGGATACCACTAGTTTCAGAAGCTTAAAAATTGGATCACTTCCAGAGTCTAATGTTTTAAATATGTAAATCTTGGTATATATTCCTCACAGAATAAACATGGTTTTAACACCTGAGGTTAAGCTTAGTGAGGGATGTTGGGTTTAGCTCTTCTGAAAACTCTGATGAGAGTTTAGCTCAGAATGGAATTGTTTGGTTTAGCTCAGAATATGACTGCAGGGTTCTTAATTTCTCTACCCTGCCCTGCTCCAGATAGGATAGCATCATTCTTCTCGGTTTTGTTTGTTGTCTTACACTGCAGCACAAGGTAGAATTTCTGTGTGGTGCTGAATGAACAAGGCTGGATGTGTACCTTGGACATGGCTTGATTAAATGTGTGATTTTGTGCTTTTGGGCCACAAGGCTCTACGTATCAAGGCTGCCTGCTGTTAGCATAACTGAATTGGGAATTGCTGATATACATGTGCACTGAATGCAATCAGTGGTTTGAACCAGTCACATGCTGTACATTTAAAAATGCAATATTAAATTCGATCATAGCACACAGATTTCACATAGTGTATACTTTTAATCAGATTTTGAGAATTCTTTTGTTTTCTGAAGTTACTGTGTTAATGAAGAAGAATGTACCCCAAGAAACGAAGAACACACCGTGGTACAAAATTGATAAATATGTTCTATTCTAAGGAGCAAAAAGGCATTAAAATATTTTTTTTTGTTTACAGGAATGCATCTAAAATTATAGAGACATCTGGAGTTCATTTTCAGGTGGGAATGACTTGGAGCCCCTTTTGCTTATGTTAATATATGTATGTCTCTGTCATTAATCCTGAGAAAAGCAGCAAGAAAGTGAATTTCAAGTACAACTTTCAATCTGGAATCTACTTTAAAGGTTTTATTTTGTTAATCAGCTTCTTCTGGCCTTTATGTGGAAAGGGCTGGTATCTCCACGTCTGTCATAGTCTAGCTTTCTTAGCTGAAAAGTGTTTGCATGCTCCCCTAATTGTGTGCAATACGTGCTTCTGCATGTAGACAATTTTGAAAATCCTACCTTCAATGTCAAATTAGATCAGTGAACTTAAAGCTGTGCTTCTACATAAACTAATGTTCCTTGTGTCACTACAAGAAATACTAAAATACTTCTTCTCCCATGTAGTTAGTGATAGGATGAGAGGAAATGGGCTTAAGCTGCGCCAGGGGAGGTTTAGGTTGGAAATTAGGAAAAATTTCTTTACGGAAAGGGTAGTCAAGCATTGGAACAGGCTGCCCAGAGAGGTGGTGGAGTCACCATCCCTGGAAGTGTTCAAAAAACGGGTAGATGTGGCACTTCGGGACATGGTTTAGTCTAGTCTACCCTTGATTGGTTTAGTGTGGACTTGGTAGTGTAGGTTAATGGTTGGACTGGATGATCTTAAAGGTCTTTTCCAACCTAAACGATTCTATGATTCTATAAATCTTTAAGCTACCAAACCAAGAAATCTCCAATTTAACTCTCTAGCTGATGTCTTATTGGCTGATAATGTATTGAAAGGAACTGAAATTTTACTTTCCATACATGACTGTAAGAAACTTTTCAGTAACTACAGTCCTCTTCTTTTTTGTTTTAAACAGGCAATGTATGAGCATCTGGGAGAGTTGCTCACAGTCTTAATCACGCTTGATGAAATAATTGACAATCATGCCACTCTGAAAGATCACTGGACCATGTATAAGAGGTGTGTCTCTGAAGGTGTGAAACATACTCCCACAACATAAAAGAGAAAGCATGTGTGTGTGTCTTTGTTCCAAGAAAGTCAGTGTGGGAACATGGATTTTGATAGCCCCGAGAGTTTTCTAGAAACCTCAATGAAGAGCAGGGCTAAGCTCCCACTTTGTCCTAACAGGACCAGTAAGTTTTTAAAGTGCTGAATGTTACATACACGGTACGTGGTAAGCAGCTTGACAAACAGAGTTATGGTCGGTGGAGTTTAAAATATATTCAATAAGAAATCTAATTTTGCACAGAACTGACTTAAAACTATCCATATTCATCATGGGGGTGGGCATACACATTTAAGAAAAAACACTGTCTTAAGTAAAAGCTGAAGAGTCAACAATTATAAAGGTAGTTAAATTAGTGGAGTAACTACTGTTTCATTGAGAACCTGAATAAATGGGAGTTATTCAAATGCAGATGGCTTATACAGACCTAGTGGGTTTGGTTTTGTTTTGGTTTTTAATTTTGGAGTTGCTGCTGGGCACAGATGTGAGCAATTAATATCTATTATCAAAACAGTACAGGATATGATAAAACTGTTAGCATGTTTTAATTGTGTTGTATATGTGTGTTCTGCACGTACTCCTTACAGGCTGCTAAAATCTGTCCATCACAACCCTTCTAAGTTTGGGATTCAAGAAGATAAACTGAAGCCGTTTGAAAAGCTGCTGTTAAAACTGGAATGCCAGTTACTTGATGGAATGATATTTCAGGTAGTGAAATTAATGTTCCCCAGTATGATAGGGGAAACTATTACATTAAAGTGACACTCTCTTTAGAATGTTTTGTTTGGTTTTGTTTTGTTCTGGATACAGTGATGTGTGAATTTGGCTCTTGCATCTGTGCATGGAAAAAAAAAAAAGGCTCTATTGTAAGATCCTTCCTTGCTCCTCTCATGTGCTAGAACTGTGCCAGGCTTTGAATGGTAGCAGTTAATGCTTACTGTTTTGCAGAATTAATGCCAAGTTGTCTGCGTTTCTTTAAGACTCTGTATTATCAGGGAGTCTGTTTTTCACCAGAAATTTTAATAGTGGTCAGACTTACATAGCATAGGTCTACTTTATTTTAGCTGCAGGTTAAAGTCTCCTCAGTCATCTTGAAAAGATGTTAAGTGTGGCCCCTTGTTACATATTTTGTCTTATTCCTAGCATGTGAGACAGGTAGCTGTCATGGGGTACCACTTCAGTGGTGTATACCCCTGAAACATGCAAGTGGTACAGGTGGATGAGAAGGATTATTACTTTTTCAATACAGTTAATTTAAATGTGTTCATACAAGAACCCATCTGTTTTTCAGAAAAGTGTGCATCTGAGACACTGAAATCGGGTATTGTGGCATAGTGGGCAGAGGATAGCGTTGCTGAATCTGGTCACAGCAGAGTAAATTGAACAGGACTGTTGCTCAGTTCTTACTGTTACATCTTAAATGGCATGGGGAAAAAGATTTTGTTCTGTAAAAGCCTCCAAAAGTGAAATTGTAAATAAATAATTAAACACAGTTTGGCTTATTCTTTCAAAGGACACCGCTACCAGCTATCCGTTTTTCATCTATATTTCTCTAATGTTGCTTTAGTACAAAGACTTCCTTGTATGTTTGAGACATCGGTAGGATTTGCCTGATATTCATTCAGGATGTTTCCCCTCCTGTCCTGTCTGCGCCTCTTCCTAACAAAAATATCTGAAAAATATTCTTAAATACAATTCCATTAAAGACTTTTCTAATATCTTTAGAAAATATGAAATGTCTTTTGTTTTTTTTCTGTTGTGTGGCTTTTAGTAATTTTTTTTTTTAAACAGCCACCAGTGGTGTGGGGGTCTTATGAACCAGATCCTAGAAGTGACTTGCATGATAATTTTGTTTAGTTAATGAAAAGTTAGTAACATATTGTAATGATGTAAATACGCATCTAGTTTCTTATTGCTAGCACATCATGTGGTTTCTTTAAAAATGCCTCAACAGAAATGTTAAGTAAATAAAACTTTTTTTGAATGTTAGGTGTAAGAGAGGTTTTTAATGTTTTCTGTTATACTAAATAATTGAAGTATACTTAAAATCTGTATGTTGTGAAGTCTAAGACTAACTTCAGGTTAGTGCTATATGACATAAATCAGTGTGCTCTTGCAGTATTCTTCTCTTGCAAAATCAGCATTCTTAAAAGAATACTGATTCTTTTCAAAAGAAAAGGTTCAAAATTCATGGCATTATCATAATGCTTTTTTCTTTCCTTTTTGCTCAGGCCTGTATAGAGCAACAATTTGATTCTGTAAATGGTGGAGTGTCAGTGTCGAAGAACAGCACGTTTGCTGAAGAATTTGCTTATACCCTTCGCACAACTTTTGCAAATGTTGAGGCCAAACTTGGTAATGCAAGCTCATGATTCTCCTGCTGGCTTCACTGTCTCTAAAATTGTTTGTATTGTTTGTCTGAGAGTGGACTTCAAAATAGGATTTTTTGGGTGTATTTGTGCAGGTGAACCTTCAGAAATTGACCAGAGAGATAAATATGTGGGCATCTGTGGCCTCTTTGTACTGCATTTTCAGATTTTTCGGACCATAGACAAGAAATTTTACAAGTCATTGTTGGATGTTTGTAAAAAGGTGAATGCTTCATTCTTTTGTCAATAATTAAGGGAGGGGGGGAAATCTTCAGTAATGAAGTAGATAATTTTCTTAGTTGTATAGCATAGCAAAGACTTGGGAAAAGAAAACACACAATTTACCAAAACAAGTCAGAAAGCAGAATTAAGATTTTTCTACTTTTTATAATTTTCTCTCCCCCCATGTTCTTTTAAAGATGCTCCAAAAACCTGTCCACTCGCTTAGCAGCAAGGTAAAATGAGGAGAAATTACATTAAAATGTTTCTTCTTAAGCTCAGTGTTGCACTGAGGACAAAAAATTGTTTGAGTTATGAGTATTGTGTGACTGAATAAATGCTTTGGGTTTTGACCTTGGCTATAAATATGTATGTTGAAACATCACGAAGTCCAAAGGTGGTTAGGGCTTTTTCCTATCAGATGGGATTAAGAAATTAGTAAATTCTCTAATACTGTTTAGAATGACTGAGAGTGGTAATAACTTTGGCTGTGGTGTCCTTAGTGGACTTCTAGGGGAGAAACCTTTTTTAATGTGAACGTAATACTTTGTAGAAACTAGTTATGCAGAAATAAACTGAATTGTGTGTTATGATTCAAAAGAGGCATAACAAACATGCATGGTGGTGCAGTGTTTGGTGTAGCTACTTACGTCTATTGCTACTTGTAGTACTGCCCCCCCCCCTTTTTTTTTTCCCCACCCCAGGTACCAGCCATCACATTAACTGCTAACATTATTTGGTTTGCTGACAACTTTCTGATTCAGAAGATACCAGCTGCTGCCAAACTTCTGGATAAGAAAAGTATTCATACAGTTAAAATGCAAAGGGAGAACTTTCTACAGCAGAAGGCACAGTCACTTACCAAGTATGCTTCCTAAATATCGCTTCATGGTGATGTTTGGCAAACAGTTTATAAACACATGGGTTTCTTATTCAAGTGTACTAGCATGTTGTATAGTGTTGCTCAGTGGTGTTAAACTTTTCCATTTCACTGTGGCAATATGTGTGTGTTAGCATAATTGCACTGCTGCTTTGCTTTTGGTCTTGGGCAGTGGTACAAGTCATGTCTTACAGCTCTTAAGATGAAGAAAAGGTTGAAAAAAAGATCTGGGTGTTCACAGACATTTTGAGGATATTGTAATACAATGCAGATTTTACACCTGCTGATTAGAATTCTGCCAATAACTTTTTCTTGCCTTTTTACAAGTTCTTGCATTGCCTTTAATAATTGGACTGTTGCCTTAAATATTGAGTACTCTTTAAAGTGTAATTTTTTTGTCATAAGCAATGACCTGAATACATTAAAAAATAACTGCTATAATAAGTAGTAATGCAGTATCACAGTTCTGTAGCATGGAATAAATAGAAGTTTTAAAAGTGAATCAAACATTTAATTACAACTAGTGTAATCCAAGCAGATTAACTGCTGGAGAATTATCTTATTTAAGAGCACTGTAGTTTGACATTGATGGAGTGACAAGTTATCTTTTTATCTTTCATATACATATATACATATACACACACCCCCTCCCCAAAGAATCAAACTTGGAGGAAAAAAATTAAATGTAGGACTTCTTTTGTCTAGTGTTTGAAAGCGTTTTCTAGCAGTTTTTAGTCTTTTAATTTAAAGAAGTGTAGTATATGTACTGCTAAGAGGGCCATTTGTTCTCTTGAATGATAGATGATTTTGACTCTTCAGAGTATGTTTGTACAGATATAATTGGCAGACTAATCCTTACCAATACAAAATTAAAATGTAAATGAGCATGAGGTTCTGATACTTTTGGGAGTGGAAAGTTATTACTTTGGGGACTGAAGATTTAACATACTTCCCTTGGCAGAATTTAAGCTTTGGAAAGAGAAAAGAAAATTCTCATACTCTTCTTATTTGAAGTAAGCAACGTTTTTGTTTCTTTCTCCAGAGATATGCAGTCATATTATGTTTTTGTGAGCTCGTGGATGACAAAAATGGAGTCTATCTTGTCAAAGGAGCAACGTGTGGATAAGTTTGCAGAAGATCTTTCTAACCGCTGCAATGTCTTCATCCAGGTGTGCAGTCTTTTAATATGGTGATACAGGAAATGATGCAGCAAACTGATGTTTTGGTGCACGTTGTTGAACATAAAAAGAAATCAGAGAGTTCTGTGATCATCAGTGTGTTATTTTACAATGTGGGAATTCTAAAACTTTAAATGCCCAGTAGATACTCTTAAGTAAATCTGTAAAAGGTACTTCTATAAGGTGTGTGGGGGAAACAAATCTGACTAAAATACTCAGTGGCTAAAATTTTGGATTTTTCTCTTAGGAAATCAAGAAAGCTTCATTTCCTCTGTAGTAAAGATTTTGGTGGGTTTTTTTCCCTTTTGACTCAGTCATAAGGTACATAAGTTGGACTGAACCACTGTCTTAATTTAGTTTTATTTAGCACAGTACATACTTCCAGTAAAGGTTTTGTGTTGTTTCATTGTGCTTTGCCTAGTGATGGTACTTTGCAAGAATCTTAACTACGTTCCGAGACAGCTGGTTTTCTTTTGGCCTACTAACAGCATGTAGTCTTAATGTAAGATGCATCTTATTTCTGAATTTATTTTTGCTAGTTTTGATATGTATCTATCTGCCTGACAGAAATCTGATGAGAATAGGTGTGTGACAGAAGCATGATCCTGAATCTTCTATATCTAAAGACATACATGTACTAGGATCTGTGGTTTTTATATTTGAATTATTTGCAGTGGACTTATGTAAATTTTGCTCTGTAGCAAGTTGAGGTTCCTAGACTGCTTTTTCTCTTTCC